AAATTAATCAGTAGAACAGCTTGCCTCCTGAAGTTGTGGCTGATCCATTGCTGAAGGTTTTCAAGAAAAGATTGGATAACCATTTGTCTAGGAAGGAATAAGGATTTGGGGTTTGGACTAGAAGACCTCCAAAGGTCCCTTCCAGCCCTATGATTGTGACTTCCAATGACGGCAACTATGACTGCAGAGATTGTCATTTGTAAGCATTGCAGCCATGGTTTACAACTGCATTGCTTAGCAATGGAAATTGCAGTTCCAATTGTCATTGTAAGTCAAAAACTACTTTTATGGAGGGTTTCAGATTGGATAAGGCTGACAGCAACATTGTGCAGTTTCTTAAACACTGATTTCCCCCCCCCCCCCCCCCCAATTGCCTGGTATTCTAACTGGGATCACCAGCACTTGAATTTGGAAGCCTTCTGCATGCAACAGTGCATGTGATCTGTCACTTGAGCATTTTCTTTGCTGCTGAAGCAAGATAATACTTGCAGGAGTCATTATCTTCATATAAGTGGGAATGTTATGCCCAAAATATGTTGTATTCATATGTGTAATCCTATTTGAACACTAATACCATATGAACTAAATGTCCAATTCCTGAATGAAGCCTCACCCTAAATATTTATGGTAGTTTGTGCATGTTAAAGCACTGGACACAGCTAGGACAGAAAAAAGTTACATATCTTTAATCTTCCTCAGCCAGTGGCGCTGTCTACCTCACCATAGCAGATTTCAGAAGCTATGGGATCATACCGGGTTAGGTCATGGCTGGAGGATCACCTGTGATTTCCAGGACTACTGGATTCCAGGATAGCAAAGTTGAAATGCATGTTGGAGGATCAGATGGTTTATCAGATCTATAATCTGCAAAGAAAATTGCATTGGTCACCAGAAGTTGGGCTTGACTCAAAAATACTTGTATCTTAAACTCTGATTTTAAGCTTCTGCTGATTTTTTTAATTTCCCAGATTTCCTTCCTTTGATGGCTCCAGCTACTTTGTACGTCTCTACACTGAACCTCTCCTGGTGAATCTGCCAACACCAGATTTTAGCATGCCATATAATGTGATCTGCCTGACTTGCACTGTGGTAGCTGTGTGCTATGGCTCCTTTTACAATCTTCTGACCAGAACGTTCCATGTGGAAGAACCTAAGAAAGGAGGCCTAGCCAAGCGCCTGGCAAACATAATTCGTAAAATAAGAGGTGTACCACCTCTCTGAGGACAGTTGGTGCATGTACTTCTGAAAGCTTTAGGAACTCTCCAGCCAAGAAATGAAGGGCCAACTTGTGAAAAGGTAGATGGTTGAAGCAGGGTACCTTTTGCAAGACTTAATTTATTTTCTTGTTACGGATTGTTTTTCATGGTTGTTGGATAGCTTCCTTCATTGCTGATCTCAGGACTGTAAATAAAAATGCCCAGGGGATAAGCTTACTCTCTTGAAGATGTTTACATTATCTGGAAAGACAACTTCAAATAAGCCAGAATTGCTCTTGAATTTTTATCTCCTTGGTTTTGGTAAAGTAGAACCACTCTTATCTCATTAGCTAATTTACTTCAATTGCCCTGTATACATACTGAGGTTGCACCTTTTAATTGCCATGTGCAACTTAACTGAAGGCAGAATTTTTTGAGAGCAATGCATCAGCGCTGTGTTGGTGGACGTAAGAGAGAAGAAACACATAAAATATTTATATAGATTTGTGCTTGAGGGCATTCTGCATACATATTAAATTTTGGCAAATTGCTATTTTAGAGGAAAAAACCATTCAAAGCACACCGATGCAGTTGTCACTGGAGAATGCAGCTTCTAGAAACCTCCATAACAGTTTGTGACTTAAGAGCTTGAGCGACCTGGACAAAGAATACTCTAAAACAGAACAAACCATGGTGCTGGACTAGTGATACCCAGGATTTAGATTAAGATGATAATCTAAATTGGGAAATGAACGCTGTTTGTATGCAAACAAAAACTCTTTAAAAAGGTTTCAATATATAATTGACAAGTGGTATTAAGGTCTTCATAGAGATCATTTTAATCAGTCTTCCATGTACCATACTGCCTGATAGCCAAGCAAAACTTTTCACCTGAGCAAACGCATAGAAATCCATGCAAGATAGGGAAATTGGTCAAAGGATAGGTTAGAAAACTTACCAGTTTTTATCCTATGTCCACCAATCCAATCTGAAAGATACTGTTATTTTGGTTGATGGCGAAAAGCTAAGGAGAATCGGACTTGGATAGTACTTGGATGAGAGACTGCCAGGGAATACCTAGTCTGTAAATTAGACTGAGAAGTTGAAAAAGCATTCTAGAGAAAAGCAGTGGAAAGCACTTTTTGCAGTATTGCAAAGAAAGCTACAAGTATGTACAGTGGCGATAAAGTTTGTGAATAGCTAAAACGATTCTGATTAAAGATGCAACACCCAGAACAGCGCACTGTCTCATTTTTATTGAACTCTGAGTTAAATATTGTTCATTGTTGATGTCCAGAATCTGAGGGGGTCTGTAGAGAGGAAGCAGCTCACACTAAATCTGAGTGTTATGGGTTCTAAGGCCTCCCAGATCTGGGAGACTTTCTCACGTGATCCAACACTGGGCATGCTCCAGGTCCCTTCTATTAAGCAACATCATTTAATGGGACCAAGAGACACATCCTCTCTGCCATGGTGCCTTCCCTGTGGAACAGCATACACCTGTGATCCAGATGGCCTACATCTTGCCAGCATTTTGTGAAGCACTTCCACTTGGGTGTTTCTTTAAGGGATGATTAGGCAAGATACATGACCTGCCTCAGAGGCAATGGGCTTTTAGGTTGCTTTGTTTGATCCTGTTTGCTGTTTGAGCAGATATTAGCTGCCTAGAGCTGCAATTCTGCTTGGATAGCCATCTGAATTAAATCTACAAATAAATATTGTAAAGTCGAAATGTGACCTTTGGTCCAGAAAAAAAATTAAATCTCTGTTCAAAGCCACATTGCATTCAGATTTTTTTTATTCTCTCCAAAATAACTTTATACCTGAAAGGCAAATTGCTAGCCATGGCCTGCTCTTGATGAGTTTCAAAGAAAGTTCATTACTATTATCAGCAATGGATCTACTTTGTATGTTCTATAATCGAACCACATGAATTTACATATTTAACACCATTTTGCTATTACCTTGTTACAAAAGGTAATTCATTGGAACATTAACTTATTCTATTTGCTGATCCTACTGCTACCGCATTGGAGTTCAGGTTATTGAATTTATGACTGACTGGCTCGCTCTATGCAAGGGGACATTGTCTTTTTCACTAGTTCTCTAAAAGTTAGGTGGTCATTAAGAGTCAAAAACATTTGAAAACTATTAAGATAATTATACGAACAGGACCGACTCAAGGTTGACTCGGCCTTCCAAGGTTGGTAAAATTGTTGGGGACCCAGATTGTTGGCAATATGCTGATTTTGTAAACCACTTAAGAGTGCTGTAAAGCACTTTAAGCAGGATTTAAGTGTAAGTGCTATTGCTATTATATACCACCAGAAGATAGTATCTGCAACAGAATATTGAGAGAGATTAACGTATTTGAACTTTATAATGTATACTTTCTGGCCATTTTGTTTAAATTTGCCTTTGTCTTTCTATTCAATTAATATTTGAAAATGGCATTTGTTTAACTATTTAATGCAATGAAATAAACCCAGATATTATTCTTCCCTAGTATTTGAAATATAGTACAATTTTTTAAAAAGTCTTATGAAAGAGGTATAACTGCACAAAAATTGTACCTAAGTAATGAGCAAGCTATACAATTTGCAAATCACAACGCTGAGTCTCAAAGCTGGGTAGGCAAATCATACAAGGGCCATCTTTAGAGCTACATAAATTCACTGAATTTCAATATGCCACAATGATATTGTATCAGTGACTTTCTTTTTCGCAGTTCCCATCTAACTCTAATGCTTTCACCAGATTCTCAAGCTTAAATAAAGTACTACTAAGCACTCTCCGATTTCTGTGGGTGGCGAGGGAGAGTATCTGTAAAGACAAGATAAAACTCATAAGCATGCACACATTTATTTGATAAGTAAATACAAAAACAGTCTTTCAGCCTAGCAGTCTCATTAAAAGCCATTCCACGTACTAAACATAAGGGGTCTCAAACTCCATTACAATAAAAAAAAAATTAAAAAACCAACAATAAACCAAACGTACGAAGCCGCCATTAACAATCAAATGTCCGTTTAAACAAAGCGATTAGTATTGCTTTCTCTCCACTACAGCCAACGGGCAAAGTTCATAGACTCCCGCATCAATTTCAGGTCCCCAATTAAATGTCACAAAGGTATTTTTCAGTATCTCTGAAAAAAATCCAAAGCTTCTGCAAATAAAAATATTTCTGCGAAGACCATAATAAGTAAGAGTAGTTTTCCTCTGATCTGCTATCTTTCTGCCTGCAAAGTAACTCAAACGAAGTGTGGGTCTCCTCACCGCTTAGATTCTGAATAACAAGAGTTGGAAGGGACCTTGTAGGTCATCTAGTCCAACCCCCCATCCCCCGCCCAAGCAGGAGACTCTGCCTACACCATTTCTGACAGATGGCAGTCCAGTCTCCTCTTGAAAGCTTCCACAGCTTCTGAAGGCAACTTCTGTTCCATGGGTTGTTTTCACTGTCCGAAAATTTCTCCTTATTGAAATTCTGGGTTTGCTCCCTTTCCACTTCAAGTTGTGGCCGTAGCTCCAGACAGCATGGAGCCCCTCACCTTTCCAGGGAAATGACCCCCCTTTACCGTATTGCGGAGGAGAGCGTTTCCGTGGCCGCCACTGAACGAGGCACGGAAGAAGAGCGGGGGGAACCAGCTTCACCTTCGTCATCACAATAGCGCAGCCCCCCCCCCCCCACACACACATATCACTTCGCCTTCGAAGTCCGTTGTCTGTCGCATTCCAGTCCGTACTTTCCATCCAGCTTCCCTCCTCCTCCTCCTCCTCCTCCTCTTCCCTGCAGACTGCACAGTATTTATAATGCATCTTCTGCTTCCAGCCTAAACGGAAAGGACCTTTTCGCCTCGTCAGATCGAGGACGGTGGGGTTGTCTACGACAATGCCTGCTCGGAACACCCCTCGATTCTTGGGAACAACAGCTCGGCGATTTCTGTAGCAGAAGAGAAAAAGTGGTATGAAAAGCTCGTGCGGAAAGCCGAAGGCTATCCATCCAGGCTCGAATCGCGAGCGCTGTAAGGAAAAAAAAAGGCGCCGGGGTGGACGACCCAAACGACAGTTGAAGGTCCTACGTCAAGCGAGAGACCTGCGAGCGAATTAGCGTGGCGAGGGGCGACGGAGCGCTATGGCGTGGAGGGCAGGTAATACAGCTGCCGGGGGCGCGGTTGGGAGCTGCCGAAGGTGTTGAGGGCAACTCTCGCCGGGAAGGTATAAGCCCGGCGGATTCGCTTCTATCCCTTGACGGCAACCCTGAAAGCATATGTCGTAGCCCTGGGTGCGGGGAAGGGTGTGTCTTGTGTCGTGTACCCCCATAAGCGGGGCTTTGGCGGCGTGGGGGGAACGGAGTGGGCGCCTTCATTTGGGCGGGTTCTATATAGGGGGCTCCCCGGCTCCCCGTGGCTCAGACGCTGAGCTTGTCGATCAGAAAGGTGGTCAGTTCGGTGGTTCGAATCCCCGGTATAGGTCTTCTGCATGAGCAGGGGGTTGGACTAGATGACCTCCAAGGCCCCTTCCAACTCTTGTTACTGTTACTAATCTCATATGGGCCGAGGAGATCTTCCCTGCGGTGTCCGTGGCAGCTGGACCGAACGATCGCTTCTCCTCCCTACCCCACCCTATCTTCCCAACAGATCCCTTCCCAGGGAGGATCGATCTGGGAAGTTCGCCTCTGCAAACGTAAAACGGATCGGGCAGAAACCCCCCCCCCACTCCCACCCCGCCAGCCCAGATTCCGAAATTTGCTTATGGAAAACCCGGCAACAATATTGGCTGCTTTTCGGTTCAGCCCTAGTCCTAAAGCAGCTCAGGCAGAGGGTGAGGGGTAGGGGTGGGTGGGGAGGAAAATAGGGTAGCCACAAGTTATAAATGTATTTGGCCAGTGCCTGATCTTTCGAAAGATATCTGGCACAACTGGAACAACTAGCTTAGCTGGTTGCTCCAAAAGGGATAGAAAGGGTTGTGGGAAATGGATCCACAAAGGGCTGTTACACAAATCGCAGCATGATAGACTTGGTAGGTTTGACAAGAGCACTCTGTTGCTACTTGTGAGCTCCATAGAGGCACATATGAAAGGCTGCTGTTGACACCGAATGATGAATTAAATGGGTCTTGTGTCTCGACCTGTCACACTTATTAAATAGTAACTCCTTTTACAGAGGGCATTATAATTGTGTAATTATCATTATTCATGGTAGGCCTTTTCTTACTTCTAATCTTTCCCATCATACTCATGTACTTTGGGCATTAAGGATAGACAGTAGGATGATAGTAAATTGATTTCTACAAGTGGTAGACTAGTAAAATGCCATGTTTTTTTCTAAAATGGGAGTCTCTATCTTAAGGTATTTCAGCATACGGATTTAGTAATCAGTTTTAATAGTTCAATAAGAGATCTACTAATACACCAACATGTTCACACAGATTAGAAGATATATGGACTTTGGGGAACTGAATAAACATTAGTATGCATCTTTCCTGTTTCCTGTTACAACATACCTGTAGTACTAAAAAGCTTGAACAGAGGATTTTTTTTTCCTTGCTGAAAAATTATGGAAATTATACCGCTAATACAGCTTTTGACAGAAAGCATAATGTATATTTTGGATAACTTTAGTTCTGTGTGTGTGGAAACTTAATGTTTTAGAAAAATCAAGAGGCACATTATTCCTGCTGGTATATTTATAATTATTCTGTTTCCATATCTGAGGTATCTCCTTTAATTTTTGAAACCAGTTGATGGAGTAGGTAGACAACTACATTGAAGTGCAAGGAAGAAATACATTTGTAAATCAGATTTGTGTCCAGTATATTATATAAAGAGGAAAATGTTATGAGACTACCAAAATAGTTTGATTCCATAGATTAACTGTTCAGATTGTGCACTAGTCCAGATGTGAATAAACAAATCCGAGATTGTGATAATCTTAAATAATACTTTATTATAATTGAAGGCCCTCTCCTGCTTTTATGTGAATTTTACTATTTACCTTTTTGAATTTAAGAAGAGGTTTTCTGTTCCAAATTGTATAGTTCCAGAGAATTTTGATAATTTACCTATTTCAATTCCATATATTCTTCTAGCTCTTTTTTAATCCTCTGAACATGTTTCATACAAAGAACATTTACATGAATGTACTTCTTTAAACATTACTCCACATTTGACAATAATTTTTATCTCCTTCTGATATCATGGTATTCATGGTATGAATATCTTGGTATTTTTTAAAAAAAACTTTATAATTTGCCAATGGAAAACCAGTTTGATGCAGTGGTTAAGGCATTTGGCTATAAACCAGGAGTCATTGAGTTCTAATCCCACTTTATGCATGAAGCCAGCTGGGGCCAGTCACTTTCTCTCTTCCTAAGAAAAAAGAAGGCAGTAGCAAGCCTGTTGAAAAAATATTGCCAAGAAACTAGTGACTAATCCAGATAAACTCCAGAAGACAGCACTGATTTGAAGGCATCAAAAACATGCTAATAAATCACAGGGGAAAAGTTGTTAGTTATATTTGGTCTTGTATCATGAAGTAATTATTTGAGGTGAATATACACTTGTATTGTTTTTGTGACCAGGATAGTTTGCAGTGTATTCTTTCTGATACACTGATAAATTTCAATCTATTGCTAAGGCCCTCAAACAACAAACTGTTTCATTTTCTTTAAGGGAAGAAAGTCTATCTAGCTACACTGAACACCAAAGCTACAAAAAAAGGAAAAGATTTCTCTCAATGAAATTGCATGCACTAGGGTAAGAGATTTATGGTAATTAATTTTCATTCATTCGCAGCAAAATTAAAATACTGCTGCATTATTTGATTTTTAGCTCCTATAAAAATGGAAATTTAATTTTACTGATATATGATGGAATAAAAAGGCACTGAAACCTGGCTTAAGATGAAAATCCTGATTCATAATATTTATCCATTTATCTAAAGATTTGATTTTATTGAAGGACAACAAGTTTCTTTGCCAAAAGGGAAAAATGCCTCCTTTTCCTTTTATGCTTTTGGAAGATCTAAGATGAATCTAGTATTTTATTCAGTACTTTATTTCTTTCATTTCCATATTTCTGTTATTTCTCATACAATGAAAGTGTATAGCTTCTACCCATATGGCTTGCATTTCTGAGAATTCAGATTATTGAACAAGATTCTTCTGGTTTTAACTGTTTCAGCTCTTCTTGATAGCTCATGTTCTACTGGTAGATAGTGGGAGAATGTGGATAAAAGCATCATGTGGTTTCTTGTCCCCAAATATTTAGAACAAATAAATGTAAAATGTAGGCCTCTCTTGCTCCGTGTTCATGAAAAATTTGTAGGATGTGGCCAAGTATAAAGGAGTACTAGTCATGGTCTGTTTCATGCCACTCCCAGATGATCTCATTAATTCATGATGAATTAAGTTTGTAATGGATGATATGATAAAGAATGTTGAGAGGAAAGTGAACAGCCATGAACTGCAAAATTATTGTTTTCATTGTTCTTGTACTTTGAAGTTAATGCAAATTTGATAATTAGAATGCTCCTATTAAATCTTTCCTGATAACTTCAGTGCAAGAAACAAGGAAATATCAGATAATCAATAGTACAATATGTCTAATTAATGACACTTAGTGAATCTTGGGTAATTTCAAAAATCTAAACAGAGTTAGAGATGAATAGTACTTGATAGGAAATCCTAGACTATACTGAGATTGGAATTTTGAAAAAACCTCCCAGAAGACAGTAGCAAAGTACTATACTACTATGTTAGTAGCAAGAAATTTGCAAAATCACTAGGAGTTGAACTGGATGAATCATTTGAGCTGGCTCATACTTAAGTGATGATCAATATGCAATTTTTATTCAACATACAGGTTTTGTAATACACTAGAAATACCTAGTGTTTTGATGATTTGACATAAAGTAGTAAAAATAGAATTGTGTCAAATCCAAGCTGCTTCTCACTTTGGAAAAAATTATAAATGAGTGATAGGCTTCTAATTCCCATAAACCTCTGTTTCCACCTCTCAGATGCTGGAGTCTAACATTAGTAAGGACATATTTAGATCTCTGATTCCTGTATAATGATAGATCATAATGTTGATTGTTTATTTTGGTTTAACGTGTCTGATCTAACTTACTGTGCCTTGCTAAATTAGCTGTGAAAAAACCCTTACAGTATAGCTCTCTGTTTTGTCATGAAAATGTCTTTCCAACAGCTACAGTAATGAGCAAAGCCATTCATACTGTAGCTGGATTCATGCATCATATTCTAAACTCCACAATAGAGCAAACAACCAACTCATATTACAGATTGGCTCCTACATCATGCTTAATGATTATACAAATAAACCATAATTTGCTAGTTTGATAGTAATAAAGCTTGATTTATAAACCATAATGGTTAGATTTATATAACACTTCCTCAACAGAACTCAGTGTGTGTGTCCACAGTTTAATGGATTCACGCATTATTATACCAGGATTTTGTATTACTGGTTTTTGAAGAAACTATAGCATCCTATAAAATGCTAAGCCTGGGTGTGCATGTTATTTATTTTATTAGATTTATGTCCTGCCTTTCCTGTAAGAGTTCATAACATTCCCTCTCCCAAATTTCCCTATAGCAACAATTCTATGGGTAGGTTTGGTTGCGAGAATCTTCAAAAGCACAATATGGTGAACTATGATAGAGACTTGTTTTGTTCTCTACCCACAAATGAGCTAATTACAAATCTCAGGTCACTCTTGTCATATACACTCCATGCATTGCAATCATTTAAGAGAGTCATAGGCAGGTTGCATGATAATATTCTTTCTTAATTTTCTTTCATGTTCATAATTACAGCAATTTAAAGAGTTTCTGAATGGAAGTGGAACTGGGACATTTGACAGGCTGATATGATAGAAAGGTTAATTTTTGGAGGAAATGTATTTCAGGTGTCCCAGATTCCAAAGTTACATTAGCTATATGACTTGGCTGTTAAATAAGCAAGCTATTAAATGTATACTTGTCCTCTAAAGAGCTTTTTGTTGTTGTTTTTCTCAAACTTTGTCCTAAGAGAAAAGTACATAATCTGAATCTGATCAGATGATCTCTATGTATTTTTTGTCAGTTGAAATGATGTAGAATAGCTTGACTCCCACTTCTTTGTGGCAACCCCTGAGATATTGGAACATTCCTATCATGTCACCCCTAGTCCTTCTTTTCATTAAACTAGACATACCCAGTTCCTGCAACTGTTCTTCATATGTTTTAGCCTCCAGTCCCCTAATTATCTTTGTTGCTCTTCTCTGCACTCTTTCTAGAGTCTCCACATCTTTTTTACATCGTGGCGACCAAAACTGAATGCAGTATTCCAAGTGTGGCCTTACCAAGGCATTATAAAGTGGTATTAACACTTCACATGATCTTGATTCTATACCTCTGTTTATGCAGCCTAGAACTGTGTTGGCTTTTTTGGCAGCTGCTATACAGTGCTGGCTCATATGTATAAGATACTATCATACAAGATAACAATAAGACAAGATACTGATATTTAATGATATATTCCATAATATGTACCTGCTTGTGAATATTTAGTACATTTACAAGTTGGAAAACTCTTTCTACCTCTCTTCTAGTGAATCTCATCTAATTTCTCTTTCTTGAGCACAATTTACCATGTATCCCCAAAGATTTATTCTTAGATTAAATAAATGCTGTTCAGCATGGTGCCATGCTTTAAAATTATTTGTTTCTGCTTTTATTTCAAGGAAGCCACATTCAGTTTTATTGTGACATTCTGCCTTCATAAGTAAAAGTGCTATTGCTTCCTTTTACCTGAATCTGAGGAAATGGGAGCTAGGATTTATTTATCTTATTTTATTTTATTTTATTTTATTATTTTATTTATTATTTTATTTTATTTTATTTTATTTATTATTTTATTTTATTTTATTTATTATTTTATTTTATTGCCTATTTCCCCTATAAGGTGGCTCAAGACTATTTACAAGTTATAAGTACAAAACAATTAAAATATCAAAACATTAAAACTATTCAGATTATGATTTTAAAATTACACTGAAACCAGAACCAAGAGACAGGATATGGACGAGGTCTTCGTATCTCATCGGACACTCCAGTGCTGAGCGTCCTCCTTGGGGCCCCATACCAACCAGCAAATCCAAGTTTTAATACTCTTCTGGAAGACCAAAAGGGTGGCTGCAGTTCTCACCTCTGGTGGTAGAATGTTCCATAGGGATGGAGCCACAGGGAAAAGGCTCTTCTCCTTGAAACTGCCTGCTGGAATTCCTTAGCAGATGGGGTCCATAGTAGTCTATTCCATTGGTGTGAGTGGGGCGAGACAGTTCCCCAGATACATGCCATGATGATAGGCATTTTTTGGCATTTACCACTGCCAGAGTAGTAAGTTACTATCTTGGCAAAGTTAATGTACCAGTGCATTACATTGCATTTTCTTGTTTCCGTATAAATGGGAAATATACACTTGCTGCAGGTATAAAGTTAATTTTAATGATCAGCTTTCCTATCAAGTACTAAAGCTAATTATCTTGGTGGTTCATAAGTTGTACGAGGGTGATGTCACACAAGATTTTTTTTTCTCTGAGATTCCTTTCTTCAGCTAAACCATAATCTGTTTCCCAGATTCAATAAATTCTTAGGAGTATTTCCTCAGTTACATTTCTGTTGTTCCAAGAAGCAAGAGTATGAAAATATAACTAGCTCATTATCTTTTTATATAAAAATAGGATTGTTTCTTTAAAATATATGTTTTTTTACATATTTTTTATGTTTTTAAGCCCCTTATTTTCTTAGCATTTCATTTGGAAATTAAAAGTTATCTTATATTTCTGCCCAAAGCTCAGCAGCTAGTGGGATTGTTCTGTGTGTGAGAGGGCCATTCTCTTTCTCCCTGGTTCCCAGTTTTTGTTTTCAGCACTTTCATTGTTCCCTTGTCATCTAAGTTGAGCAGCATTGATTTATTTATTTTACAGCATTTATTTATTTATTTATTTATTTATTTATTTATTTTACATTTTAAAAATGATGCATATAGATTTTCAACCTCCCTATGACATTGTCATATAGCTAAATCAATATTTACTCCAAATAGTTGATGATGCAGGTCTGAGAATGAGAAATGGTGTCTTTAAAATACTATTTAGTTCATTTAGGTTAATTTAAGCCAGGTAGTCCTCAACTTATAACCATTCTTTTAGTGACTGTTCAAAAAAGTGAAAGTGACATGAACAGTTCTCACACATACAACTGTTGCAACATCCCCATGGTCCCATGATCAAAAGTTGGCTGCTTGGCAACTATATTTACAACACTTGCAGGATCCCAGGGTCATGTGGTCACCATTTTCAACCTTCCCAGCTGGCTTCTGACCAGCAAAATCAATGGGAAAACAAACCTGATGAACAACAACAAAGTTGTTATTATGGCAAGTTATTATTTGCCCCCCCCCCCCAGTTATAGTAAATTCATTACAATAAGGAAGACGTGTAGAGAAGATATTCTACCTAGTGTCTTAGAGAAAAAATTGCTAAAATTGTCTGTTGCAAGAAATAGTAACTACGGATTTGGGGATACAATAACATCCTGATCACCAGGCATCATGTACTGTCTCCAGAGGCTGCTTATTATCTCAGCAGGCCATACTGGAACATATACTGCCTGTTTCTCAAACTACTTACCAATGCCATAGCTCAAAAATTCCAAAATCACCACGACACCATTTTTAATGCACAAATGCCGAAGCTTGACACTCTCACTCTCTATCCCACCTCTGCCAAACATCTAATTTTCCTTTAAGTTATTGTAAGTAAGTTCTGGGCTTCTGCTGGATTGTATTAGTAAGCAATGCAAATGTAAAAAAAAAAAAAAACCAATTAAAAAAGGGATTATGGTACTGACCTGTCCTTTTTTTCTTCTCTTCCTTTTCTGTCAAGATTTACTTGCACAGTATTCCCAAGTTTTATGAAGACTGATTACCTGGTTGGTGAAGAGTTGAATGTGCAGAGGAGAAATTGCATACTGCGACTTGGATTGCTGCCATCACTGTGACATCCTGATCACCAGGCATCATGTACTGTCTCCAGTGGTTACTGCCGGTCCTCCTCATTCCCAAGCCCCTCAACCCAGCCTTGTGGTTCAGTCACTCAATGTTCATGGGCTTCTACCTTCTGAGTTTTTTGTTGGAGCGGAAACCTTGCACGATCTGTGCCTTGGTCTTCTTGGCTGCTCTGTTTCTCATCTGCTACAGCTGCTGGGGGAATTGTTTCTTATACCACTGCTCTGGTTCCCAACTGCCGGACTCTGCTCATGATCCCAATGTAGTTGGCACCTAAAATCTTCTACTTGGTTGCACTTTTTTTTTTCCTTTTAAAAGGACGGTTTCATGGGAAGGAGGGAATATAAGGCATGTGATTGGAGTACATGTTTCGGTTAAAATGTTTCATTCATGATTATCCGCACTTCCACAATCTTCCTGTACAATTTGACAAAAGTTGTTATTAGTAATAGCTGGTAGTGCTGTCTGTTTGAGGGTTTAAAGCAGAGCTGCTAAATGGGTGCCATGCCTTCCTTCAGCATTATTGTTTGAGTTTGGTCCTTCCATTTCCAACTTGGTGGTTAAGAGACCTGTTGAGTGTTGTCTAATGTCAGATCAAAAGGTAGCCATCCATCCTTTGGAACATGAGTGTCTGATCTTGTCGAAACAGTTGGAAAGCTGTTTCTCCACCTTGAGTTCAGTAGAAAGCTAGTGCTTCTCACGGTGTTCATCTGAAGGGGAACTATCAAGTGGTTAATAAGCCCGACAGCACCTGGATCCGGAGGCTGCTTATTATCTCAGCAGGCCATCCTGCAACATGTATACTGCCAGTTTCCCAAAGTACTCATCTATGTCATAGCTCAAAAATTCCAAAATCATCACGATGCCATTTTTAATGCACAAATGCTGAAGTTGTCTCTCTCTCTATCTATCTATCTATCCCACCTCTGCCAAACATCTACTTTTAATGGAGGAACCTGAATTGGAAAGAAAGCATGCACTGCTGTAAAGCTTGGGAAATCTTTTTTTATTGTATTGCTTTTGAATTTTAAGCTGCCAGTGTTTCTGTTTTGAAAAAGCAATCTGAGTGCAGGGATGGATCAGTATACCAGGTCTGGTTTCTCTATACCGAGGTGGGGCTGTCAGTGGAGTAATGTGCTGCTTTTTTCTTTTAGGCCAAAAGTATTATGTTATCACAAGCAAATGAGCCTGTGTTCACATATATAGGTGAAAGAAAGCAACATCTGTTTAGGCTACATATCTTCATAGGATTCTGTGAAACCATTTTTCTAGTGGTACCTGGGTCATGGTTTTATTCTTTCCTTTTCTCCACCAAGATTTTGCTTTACTTTCTTCCTTAAGAGCTAATTGCTGGTGTGAAATTGTAAGGTAGCCTGAGGAAAAAGCAAACAGATACTTTTTCTGTTACTTTCCAAAGTTATTTTCTCGTTTGTCTCTACACAATCTTCTTTGGAAGAATGTTGCTGAAAAGGCATTTTTGTCTCTCTCTCTCTCTCAAAGGACATGGAACTGAAAATCCAGTCGTGAAACCTCAGTAGTTTTTTTTTAATTATTTTTGTTGGTTTGTTCATTGCACAGCTATTCAACAGATTTAATAAAGCTTTATAAACTTTGGTCTGTGGATTAGTGCCATTTATGATGCAGTCACATTTTCACTGGACTAAGACCTTTGCTTTTGCAGCAGCTTATCTTTTTCACAACTTCCTAAAGCCATTTTTATTTCCAAAGTGATTTGGTTGCAAACCAACTAGGTTTTCATATGCCAATTTAGGCGCTGACCTGACCAATTTCACAAAATGTTCCAGTGGCTGTGAATCTTGATATGGAAAACAGTAGAGCTTCCTGGACAATAATGGGTAACGGAAACAATTTTCTTTCTTAATTGGCTTTCCTAATCTTTTAACAGTAGAGGGAGTGTTTTAAGACCACAATTGGGGCCGTAACATACTTCGCTGTTAAGTGAGCCATGTCTGACTTTACAACTTTTTTTGCCATGGTTGTTAAGCAAATCACACAGTCATTAAGCAAAGCTGGCATTCCCCCCCTCCCCCATTGATTTTGCTTGTCGAAAGTTGGCTGAGAAGGTTGCAAAATGGCGACTAAGTGACTCCAGGGTGCTGCAACCATTATAAATACATGCTGGTGACCAAGTGTCCAATTTAGCTAAAATTGGGCAGCCAATTTTGGTGGAGTCTAGATTGCATTAATCTTCCTTGTTTTTTTTTTATGTAAGAACTGCTTGAATTGTGCATAAATAATAGCCTCGGTAGTTTTTCTATATAAAAATTTTTTTCCTGATTATTTATTTATAGGACATAAACTGATCAAATTTGTTCTCTGACACTATTTTTTCAAAACTCTGCATTAGCAGTTTCTTTTTCTGCCCCAGAAGGCTCATAAACAAAACTACAAAAGTTACATTACTGTAGCTTCTTATCTCTTTTGCAACTTTAATTTGCCTGATATCAAATGTGAAATTCTCTGAGATTGGTATATTGAGGGAATTTGTAGATGTTAATCAGGTGGGGATACAGCAAGAGTAGTACATTAAAAAACACAGGTTTAAATTATTATAAAATTTAGGTTTTGGTAATTATGTAGCATTTCTAAGGTTTTGAAATACATATGCTTCCTATAAATTTTATTTCTTTTTAAGGCTGCTGTGGGATTCTGGGAGTTGCAGTCCACACATCTTAAAAGTTGTCAAGGTTGAGAAATACTATGCCAGTTTTCCAGAAGAGATTTAGTTCGTCTGTCATGTGAGCTATTTCGTTTTCTGCAGAATGCCACACATACCGTAGTTACAGCCTAAATACAAACTGAATGCTTGGAATTTAACACTTTTAATTAAAAAAATAAATAAATAGAAGTGCAGCATAAAGAGAAAAGCAAATGTACAAATGAAAATGCTTTTAACTTGTTTTATTTCAAAGGCGTGTGAAAAGAGCAAATAAGTTTATAAAACAATAAGAGCTCAGATTATATAAATGAAGAATGGCAAGAGGAATAGACAACGGAACTGGTGGTCAGCAAAAGTTTCAGCAGACAAAAATAATTACCGGAGAAATGTTGGTTCACAAAGTGGAAAAATTGAACTCTAGTCTTTCCCTTGATGAAAATCCTTATATTTGGGTCCTGGTGTGTGAACTTAAATTCATCAGTAGGCTCCAGATAATGAAGATAGGTTATCTAAACTTATACCTGTCCTGACTATACTGGAGAGATGTGGCCCACAAATCAAGTTCACAGAAATCTAGTCTGAAATAAGTAACACTATGCATAGCTCCTTTTAAATAAAAATTTAAATGTATTTATATCCCCTTATCAGTGTATAACACTCAATACATTGAGTGTTTATTGTGGGCTTTGATAGAACTGATTTTTTTGGGGGGGGGGGTTAAATTCTGCAGATAAGGTGGCTGGAGTTTTTGTTTCAACTCATGTAATTTTTCAAACATCTGCCAGAGGAAGTTGGCTAGCACCTACCCATCTTTAATTTTGAAAAACTGAGTAGGATTGGATCTGGTTAGTGCCACGATTTTATTTATTTATTTATTTACACAAATTTATATGCCACCCTTCTCCCTAAGGACTCAGGGCGGCGAACACAGGTTAAAAACATACAATAATAAAAGAAAACATAATTAAAACCAATTTAAAACAGCAACTGCAATAATAAAACAGCAATAATAAAACCCAGGAATCAGAATCAGACGATGGGAGATCATCTGGATACCATAGGGCTGTAAGTGGAAAAGCATCCTGCAATGGCAAATTATTTCTGCATTCATTTAAAAAATTACATCCATGTGTTCGTGATTATTTTTAAGATCCAAGTGTTCTTTCCCACAAGCTTAAAGCATTCACTTTCCTGGGAAAAACATTCTTAATGAACCATATTCAGTGTTTCACCAAACAAGTAATAAAATACTACAACACAAAATGACATGTTACTATGAACTGATTTTAGCATCCAGGAGATGGGAGCTTGGGGGATTTTTTATGGTTTGAGATTTAAAAGCCATGTAAAGAGATTACACCCATGATTTGGAAGTGCCATAATGGGTTTTGTTTTTTAAAAAATATCCTTCAGAATATTGGGAAAAAATATTTCTCTGTTCATTATATTAGAAAGTGAATTATAGGCAACTGATTCAAGATAATGCTTTTCATAATTAACTTATTATACATTAAGTGCTTATAGTTAATATAGTTAACGACCTCCCATCGACCCATGCGCTCCCACAGAGAGGGCCTCCTCAGGGTGCCATCAGCCAAGCAATGCAGGCTGGTGACCCCCAGGGGGAGGGCCTTCTCTGTGGGGGCTCCCACCCTCTGGAATCAGCTGTCCCCAGAGATAAGGAGAATCCAAGACCTCCGTGCCTTCCGCCGTGCCCTTAAAACTTACCTTTTCCAACAAGCCGGGCTGGCCTAACAAATCCTTTGAATGATTTTAAATTTGTTTGTCTTTTTAAATTTGAGATATTTCCTTTTAATCTGTTCTTAATGTATTTATTATGTGTTTTTATTTGGCTGTACACCGCCCTGAGTCCCTAGGGAGAAGGGCGGTATATAAATTTGAAGTAAAATAAATAAAATAAAATAAATAACTTAGATCAGTGGTTCTCAACCTGTGGTCCGTGGACCCCTGAGGGGCAGCTGTGTCATCATGGGTCCATGAGGGCTTGAAGAAATGTTATGATTTAAATCTTGAATTAAGTCTTGGTGGTCTGTGGCCCAAAAAGTATTTAAGGCGTCTGTGGTGAAGAAAATGTTGAGAACCACTGGTTTAGATGACATTAATTGGACAAATATGCAAATAAGCCAGAGCAAATTTTTCAGGTTTGGGAGGACAGTATTTCACTGAAGGCTAGTTCTGAGGATGAGCAGGAGTTGATTCCCTTCTTAGCCAGGTGCTAAAGTATTAAAATTTATTTTCTTACAAAATGCCCTTACTTGGATAACAGCTCATCTGGAATAGCAAATCAGATGTATTTATTTGTTTGTTTTAAACCCTTTATATAGCAGCCCATTTTATATCAAGCTCTGGATGGCTTGAAATAATAGAACAACATAAAAAACATATTAAAACTATAGGCAGTCCTCACTTAATAACTGGTTGCCTAGTGACTGTTCAAAGGTACAACAAACCCCCAAAAGCTACTTATGATCCAGTTTCTGAGTGTGTATGGCCATACACACATACACACATGTCACATGATTGCATTTTTACAGCCAGTTGTAGCATTCTGTGGTCATGTGACCACAATTTATGACATTTTTGCTGGTTTATGACCCTTTGTCTGGTTTCTGGAAAAAAATCATCATAGGAATCCATGGATTTGCTTAATGACCTTGGTGTTCACTTAACCTCAGCATTCACTTAACAATCAATGAAAAAATCTGAGCAACCTTGGGTTGAATCAAGTGGATGTGTTCACTTATGACCATTGAAAATTGTGTTAGGATCAGGTCAAAGACTACCTGTATTAAAACATAAACATTAAAAGTAAAAACCTGGCACCAAATTAATGATTCTATTTCCTCAGATGTCCACAGATGTTTTCATTTAATGCTGCTATTTCCTCAGATGTAGCAAGTCTCAATGCAGAACATCTTTTGTCTTACCCAGACTGACACTTAATTTTCTGCAAGAAAATGCAATAGTTCTTGGCACAAGTTTCCCAGTTCTGCATTACATTAGCAAGATAATATATATTTTGGCTGTGCTATTGGAGGATTCCCTAAAGTGGAGTGATATACAACTCAAACCTCAAAAGGGAATAAAGATATAATAGATTTTATGAGATGAAAACCTGAGCATGGGTGTGGCAAATTGATACTTGTCCAATAGCATTTGATGCTATTATAGATTTTTCCTTCAACTAGCTATTCAACTGCAGAGTAAATATTCAGGAAAGCCCAGGAATGGGAAGCCTGTGAACCTTTAAATGTGGTTGAATGACAGGACCTAGCAATACAATGACATGCTGCTTGAGACTGCTGGTCTGATGGCTGGAAGCCATTTTTTACGTTGTGCCTTCAGGCCTGCCACATTTACTACTGTGGGAAACGGGGAGGGGGGATTGTATGGATAGAGTGAGATATAGTCATAATAGCATTCCTTTCTCAGAAAGTCAAGGTCTTCTTGCTCTGCACCTGGATGGATGGAACTGGGAGGTATCTCCAGATGGGACAGTGTTTGGATTGGACCATGTGGTGGACATGTGGGTGTTGGGCAGGGACTTGAACTTTCCTTTGGGTGAGGAAAACCTGGAAACTTTCAGATTCAGGTTTTCCCAGATGTGTCAATATGACATCTCTAATAAAATGGAGCTTTGAGAAAAATCAAGCCTCTGAGTTTTCTTTCGTTGGGGGTGTTACTTGGAACCCTGATAGCTGGGATGTATACTGTAGTTCAGCAACCTCTGGAGATCCACATGTTCCCCTCACTTCTCATGCTAAAATAAATTATAGTCGTTTTGTAGATTTTAAGAATCTAGGAAATAAATGCTTTAGAGACCTTTAGATGTATGTAAATATTTCATGAAGCTCTTTGTGAAGATTACACTTGCACTGTAGAAAGTTTAAAAAGTAATTTGTAAGATAGTGT